AATAAGTTGTAAATAGATTAGTATAGTAATGTAACATTGAATCAACTATGATTGGACAGCCCTGTTTTTTATTTAAAATTTACCATAATTGTAAACTATATGTTAAATATGAGATATTTTGAGAGAAAAAAAGTAATGGTAATTTGTGTAAATAATTCCGTAAATAAAATTGATACCTGCCTATTTCCTACTCAATTAAGACAATACAATTCAGATTAAAAAAATAAAGCATGATTAATATTATAGTAAGCATAGTAATATCAGCAAGTATTTTAATGGTACAATTAATTATTTAAAATATAGTATTCATAATTTTGAATCAGCCACGTATCTCACTCAATATTTTTTATTTTTCCATTTAATTCAGACGAGTGACAGAAGCAAAAACAATTCTGGTAGTAATTTTTTTAATGATATGCTCTAAATATATCTTAAACAAGAACCGAACCAAAGGAAAATTCTAATATCTGGGAAAATACTCAAGAATATTCACGGACCGTTGACAGGGATGTGAAAAGGAACGAATTACAAAATATTTCCGGTAGAGATAAAAAGAAAAAAAAACCCTCTGAAATAAGAGAGAAAAACACGATAAAGTGGTTCCAAATAAAATAGTAGATAAGGAGAAGAAAAGATTAAACATTCTTGCAGCATGTTTGCTGCGTGTTACGCACAGCTCAACAGTAAGCCGTTTTTTTTTTAATTATTAGAATAAAATGCATAGACAAGGGAGCCCATACCACCAAGGTCGATGGCACTGAAACTATCCCCTCCCCCCCCCCCCTCGCCCTCTTAAGAAATTGTATTTATTTCTCTTAGAGTGCAAGCAAAAATAAATCATACATTAATAAAAAGTATAATAAATAATAAATATAAAATAATAAATAATATAGAAATAAAAAAAAATTATGCATCGTAATAATGTCCATCCTCAGAATTAAATTTTCATCATCATTTAATTATTTCGAATCTGAGATATTTCAATTTGAAAGGAGGAACTTAAATGTCTGAAAACTGCTTAGAAGATCATTTGTTTCAAGTGAACACGAAATTGTACACTCCCGAGATGTCAAAAACGTTGCCGAATTTGTGAGGTGGCGTTACATCGGAAGATAAAATTCAAAATTCATGCTTGTTTTTTTTTTCTCCTCATAGTGCACTTTTGCAAATCCAAGGAAACAGCTATTCCTAAGAAGATAATTATCAAAAACAACTTAGTAGTACATTCTGCCAGCTTCTATTTGAGCTTTAATAGAACTCCTCACGTTCAATAATTTTACATAGAATTTAAATAGAAACGTTCATTAAGAGAAAAATAAACGACGTTTTATAAAGAAACACGTTAGATCACCATTTTTGTATTTAAATTTAACAAATATGATGGAAACTGGCAACTACTACGAGTATTTTATAATAATTATCTTCATTTTATCAGATCTCAAGATAGTTAGTAAAATAAATATCCAAAATGGTGAATTACCGTGTTTAAAAGAAGAGTTTTTTTAAGAAAGACCGTTTTGTATAGGAAAGAGAGTTAAGAGCTCTCTCTATCAAGACTCAAATCGAAGCTGACAGAAAGCGAAGTATTATACGATAATTATCTTCGTATGGATAGCTGTATCCTTGACATTTACAAAAGTGTCGTTTTCATTGTACTATTGGATGAAAATATGTAGATTTTGTACAAAACGTAATAAATTTTAAAACTCATTTATTGAGAATTCAACACTCTTAAAAGCAAACATTTTTTCTCTAAACTGCTAATTTCATTTAAAACTACAAACGCATTTCTATGGAAGAGACATAAAAAAACATATTGCAAATAAACGTTTTTATTCTAATAAGTAGCAACAAGTATTAACCAGAATAATATAGTTTTTTGTAACTAATCAAATAATATTTTCGTATCGTTCCTAAACAATAAAATTCGTTGTTGGAGTATTTTTGTTTTGTCAGTCAATTAGTGGTCATTTAGGTTTGTTTATGGCCGAGTGCATTTTCAAGAATTTTGTTTTTATTATCTATTTTTTTATAGTATGACAATAAATATTTTAATAAAACAATAATAAAGTTAAGTGGACTTGAAAAATCGGTACCAATGTAAACAACGAACTCAGTAGATAAAAAGATCATACTGAACGTCTTCACAATAATGCTCCCATCTACGTCTCGCTTTACTCATTGTTTGAGCACAGTTTGTGACAAGTATAAAAAAAATTAAAACTCTGAGATACTGCGACAGATATGTACCGGAATTTTGTCTTTGCCTTTACGTCATTTTATTTTATTTTTTATTTTTTTTGGTTTTCCGAAGACTTCTACTGAAGCCCTATACTGACAACTTTGTACTTGACATAGAGACTACAATAAAGCGATTCAGCCTTGTCAGTATTCCTCAATGTGGAGAGAAATAACGTCCTTGAAGGACTAAGGAAAGTCCTCAAAGAACGGTATGAAATATAAGTTATGTAAATTATTAATTTCGTGTATTGGATATCTGGTACAAACTGATTAAGTTGGCAACAAGGAAAGAACGCGCATTTCCTGCTTCCAATCTTGCTTATTCAATTTTATTTTTTAGACCAGAAGTTGTCGAAGCTTATTGAATTACAGCTTGATTTTCTCTTTATTGAATTATAGCTTGGTTTTCTCTTGACTTCACAACGCGTTGAGAACTATTCTTTAAAACTGTTACAGATATTTTCTTCAGTTAAATTAACAGCTCATAGAAGTCTTGGATGCCATGCTGGTTAGCATTCTGTAATTTTTTAACCGTTATTTAATTTAGCTCCTAATATTTGTCACTGCTTTTGCGTTGGGCCGGTTGTTATACGTATATATAATTTATTTTCATTGATATTTATATACACGTAGATAATTATAATAAAGGTGTGTACCATGTTTACAATGAACTATAAAATACATACTTCATTAGTTAATCGTTAAATCGTTTTATATTTGTTAGGAAATTAATAGTACAACATTCAGGTATTCAAATCTTTAAAAACCTAATTGAATCTATTTATAAAAGATGTTTCTGATGTTCAAATTAATAAACGTTTGCCAAAATCTTTTGGGGTCACGCAAAATGGCCCAACTATATTTAATTAAGACTATTTAAAACGAAGACAAAAACCTTCTTAAATATTCCCAGGTACGTATTGTTCTAAAATTTTTCATTATTTGGCATTTTAAATGCTTCAGTAGTCAAAAACAAATTCGTATTTGTTCGATTATAATTCTAAAATGTGGATATTAAAAAAACCGAAAATATTACATTAATATTAAAGAATTATTCCTATGATAAATTATATTATTTGAGGGAAAACTAGATAAAAATTAATGAAAGTTCTTTAAGGTTTTTTTCTTATATTTATAGACAACTAAAAAATATATTATTAAAATCACTATTAAGTAATTTAAATATTTTATATTGATATTCTTAATATTAAAATAATAGTAGCACAGACGGTAGAGAAGTTGAACGAATTCGTTTTACTTTATTGAATTTCATTACAGAAGAGCAGTTTTATTTCCGAGAAGAAAATAAACCAATTTCTTAAAGTACTTTAAAAAAAAGAAATTGCACTTTTTATTTTCCTCCTTCCTCCTAAATAGTCGTGATATAATCTAATGGCCCAAGACTGACCCGTTACATACAGGGCAAGTTTCTAAGCTGAGCGCTAAGATTATGATGAGCAACGGAAACCTACCAGGCCGTACCTAAACTCATCGATGTAACAGTGGGCAAGTTTCTAAACTCAGCGCTGAGATAATTGATGAACGGAAATCCTTTAATGGATTGGCGTTGAAATTAGAAACTTTCCTTTGAACGTACATACATTTTTTCTCCAGATATTATGTCTCTACTAAAAATGTTGTTAATATATCCCACATTGGTTCATGTGTAAATCCGGTTAGCAACCAACGATGGACTATAGGAGTATAGTAATTAATAAAATAAAATGTATTTTTAATTTTAATTATATAAAAAAATATTTCCAGTTGACAGAACAGAGTTTTTTCAAATTTTTTGAAAAAAAATAACATTTAATGTTTAGATTTTATATAACGTAATAACGATATATTTGTAAAATAAATAACTGTACTAATATTTACCATGTCTATTATTTGTTTGAACAGAATTAAGGGTAATCATATTCTTACTAACGTCTTGAGTTAAAATATTTACAATCAATAAAAATGTTATTAAAATCGGTCAATGGAAATACCTTAATAATAAAATAAAAAATTAAATAATATAATTAACAAAGTCAATGATTAGAATGTTATATGAAAAGCAACAAAATATTATAAATCGAATATGTAATTATATAAAATGATAATAAAATCATGGCTGTCATAAATAAATAATTTATTGATAGTTTTCTAAATGAAATCTTAAAAATTTAAAACAAATTCATACTTAATGATAAACAAGATAAAATAATATAATACAAAATATGTAGTAAACTCATAATATAACACAACCTGAAATAATAAAAATAATAAAGCAATGTAGTTTGTACTAATTTTCGTTAATAGTAAAATTAAACAGAATTAATTAACTGTATTCGCTAATAGTCCTGTGATGACAGAACAGTGTTAATTATTATAAATTAAGACTGTTCTATAATTGCAAGTAGAATATTTTAAGCTGTTTAGAGTAACAAATAACTTATTCCAGTATCCTACTAGGGTAAAACAACCGTAAAGAAATATACATACCCTAAATAAGTCAGAAAATTAAATAATAATAGTGAAATAAATTACTTTCCGATAAAGAAAATTGAGTCAAATCGCATAAAAATGTAAAGATTTTTTTTTCTTATGTTCTAAAACTTAAATTATATCTGTTCTAAACAGCATAAATTCTTTGGAATAGTTAAATTAATTAAAAGGACTTTTAATCGAAAAAAAAGTAATGATGTTGACTAACGTAGTTTTTCAGGACCGCCAAGATTTAATAAAGACATTTTAATAATTGAAAAATAACGAACCTGCAGTTTCGCTGTTTCCTTGAGGTCTTCTATGAACCCCTTGCCTTCATACTTGTCCAATGTTGAGCTGACGACTTTGGGCTTCATTGTATTGGGAGTTTAATGTGGACTTACAGCGTACAGCGCTCTAGCGGGACACGAGAGATTTTCCACGCCACTCACCGACAGCTGGGAGCCGACTGACTGCTCGTCCCTTGTGGAGGGGGGAGGATGCAGTGCTGCCAACACGACAATCGATAACTGCCTCTCTTCCCATCCCACTCAATGACCAATATCCCACAATTATTTACAATTTTTTCATTTCATTATTAATAATAAACTTTAATATGACACATTTCTCTTAAATGTATTCATTCTTACATACAAAGTTTCAGGCAATTAGGTAATTTTTAATAAGAAACTTATTGTAATTAAAAAACAACAGTATGCACCTATTTGTGTTTTTCATAGTTTGATATTATTATTGTCAATAAAAAATAATAATTTTAACATATAAAAGAGTATTTATATTCTTATATAAAATAAATAATTATGTAACTAGTTGGCCCGTGTAAATAATTCTCTTATTCCGTGCACTAGCGGATCCTAGATTTAGTTTTTGGGGGGGGGGGGCTTCAGCCAGGAAGTTTTTTTTTTCCTATATATAACGATAATTACTTTGGAAAAACAAAAAGATACTAACTACCTATATGATATGGTGTTTAAGTGATTCTTGAAGTCCTATTAAATGTAATTAAACGAGCGATAAAGTTTAAGACATAATGTTTTAATATTTTTTACCATAAAACATGGTTACATTTTACCATTTTGGGGGAGGGGCTTCAGCCCGAAAGCCCCCTCCCCGTAGATCCGCCCGAGGTACAGATTCCTTTTTATCAAATTATTAATATCTGCTTAAAATTTCGTGAATGGCTTCATCTTATCGTAACCTACAATTTATGTATGAACGAAAATACTCAGAAATGGTTTCTCAATAAATTAATTAATTTAAAGAGGTTCTGAAAACTCATGCCCATTGGTTTCCACTTGAATCGCAAGATAATTTGATCACAAAATCGGAAAAAAATGTTGCCTACAAAATATTGGGTCGTTTGGCCTATAAACCTCGTCTATAACGCCAAACAGCCCAATATTTTTGTAGACCACCTTTTTTTTTCGATTTTATTACCAAATTATCTTATGATTCAAGTAGAAAGCAAATGGATGTTCATGAGTTTTTAGTACCCAATCGACAAACTGACAAACTTAGTCGATCTCCAGATTGAAAACGCGATGAAATGAGATGAATGTATTCAAGAAGTTTTAAGTAGATATTAATAATGTGATAAAAAATTGTTTGTACCACGGACTAATTGTGCAGTTAACAAATGGCAAAATAATATAGAAATGTTCTGATGTTTTTTTCATACTTTTTGATTTATGTGAAAATAAAGTTTCTTTTTATTCTTAACTTTTTTTCCAGAATTTTTGGAAGATGTGGCTATTTTTCTCATCTGAACAAACAATTTTGTATGTATAGTTTATTTGTGCTAAAGTTGTCATTTATTAGTCTGCAACTGCTATAAGTAATCTGCTAAATAGTAAAATAGCAGAGAGAAATGAAATAATAATAATAATGATTCATAAAAAAATAATCAGTTTTTGGAAAAAACTCAATTTTTACATAGAAATTATTGCACTAACAGTAGCGATATATAGTGTAGATAATACTTTCAAAATGTGTACAAGCATATGGGTCAGTTGATTTCAAATTTGCAGGAAATGAGTACATGATGATTTGACTAAAGATTGGATACCTTTAGAGCAAAATCGCTAACTTTATAATTGAGTTATAGTTCTATAAAAAAAAATATATATATATGATGAAGATTGTCCCGAAAATATTGTTAAAAAGCTATGATATCAATAATGAATTATTATAAAGAAACAAGATTATATTTTCAATTATTGGATATTTTATTAAAAAAAAAAAAAAAGAGGCGAACAAAACACTGCGGGATGCAGTTACCATGGTAATCGTTTTTATAGCTTACGATCTTCCATTTATTTTATTATTAAAACATATCCATTTTCATTTATTATTGAGAAATAACTTATTCTCCGAAAAGTAATTAATATATTGATCTAAATGTTGTTCTTACAATTATTTTCCCTCCACCGCTCTCACTTATTTTTGTTGGTACATTGATAAATATGGTTGTTAATTCTATTTGAGACAATTCCGAGAAAAAAAAACAATTTTTAGTTTCATGGTTCATAGAGTAATATGGAAATAATTCATGGTAGTGGAAATCTTTCATCATTAAAATAAATAAATAAAAATCCTACTAATTATTAAAAATAGTTCAATAATTTCAGATTACCACTCCAAGAAGGCAAAAAAATACCTTATAGCAACTAGTATTAACAATTAATTGTATTAATTAAATGGAAATAAAACCATTAAAATGTCTACTAACTGAAGTTATTTATTACTCCCGTTCCGTAATATCTCTTCCTCCAAAAACAAATCTTCTCTGATCAAACATTTCAAAAGCATCTGAAAAAATCCTTCCTGAGTATGTTAAAACGGCAATGAAAAGAGCAATTTTTTTTTACCACGTGAACGGCCTAGTTAAAAAAATGTTTCTGCTCTCCTGAGCAGAAATTCTAATGTCACTGTGAACGTCATACAAATTAACTGTGATAGAATGACCAAGTTAGTGTTGCCCAAATGCGAGACCGAGACGAGTCTTGGTCTTGCAAACTCAGTCTTTGTCCTAGGTATTGGTCTTGCGCAAGAGTCTCGTAACAGTTAGACTCTCGTTACATATTAGTTTATTAATGGAGAGATATTGCTGTGATTTTTTAGATAGGAGAAACCAAACTAAGTCTGAATGAAAAATTAGAAGAATTAAATGCAAAGGTATATTGGTCACACCAATTCTTTACATATATTAACTAAAATTGTCAAGTATTAGTAACTATTTTGCCTCAATTTTTTTTATCAGTGTTGGTCTTGGTCTTGCAACAGATAGGCGGTGTTGGTCTTGGTCTTGAAAAGTTCAAGACCAACACCTATTTTGGGCAACACTAGTCCAGTTGTATTATTCTTAGGTTTATATTATTTTTTATATCCCATATATAAATATATTATAATTTTCTTAATTTAATTTTTAACCAATTTTACAAAATTGGTACTCACTTTCTCACTTTAGAAAATAAGATTAAATCATGACAAGTCACAACATGTAACATTTATACTTCGACGAAAAACGTGCGCTCAGATTTACGGTTGGCAAAAAAAAACGCTCTTACATAAATTACAATCATCTCAATCCAAAATTTTACGACTTATAACACGAGCTCCCTGGTACGTCAACAAAAAAATTTACATAACGACTTACGACAACCAACTATAGGCCAGCATTTACGTACTCTCTACTCTCGTTTTCATCTCAAACTACACGGACACACAAACAGACTTCGAAACGACATGGCCACGAATAACATGTCATCAGGAGGAGACTAAAAAGGAGCTGGATGAGAGATCTCCTCACCAAAATCAAGGAAGTATGTAATGACCAGGAAGAGGTGCTGCTGGGTTCCTTCTTCATGCCAATAATGTCAATCTTTATCATCACAACATACCTGCTGATCGTCAATACCATGACAGGTGCGGATAAATAGTAAAAGAGAAAAAAAAATTTTTTTAAACAAAAGTGAAAACTTTTTTAATCTTTTTATTTAATTTCGAAAGCTTGAACTTGACTTGAACTCCAATTGTACAACTGGCCTTAAGTGATTCCGGTTTGTTCTGTGTCAAGTAAACATCTTGTACATTATGCAAATTTCAGTATGCAAGTTGTGGTGAGAGGTAGTACCCCAAGTTTAACCACATAAGGTGGTATTCTCTTCTGCTTTTTCGGCGGTTGATAAAATGTGATTTTGCTCAACAATTTGATGGATACACCTTTGTGCCCTCCCATTTAATTTTGGTGCCCGTTATGAACAGAGTTTCTTTAAAACTTTTGTGGAGTGTTCTGAACGCTACTAAAACCTATTTCTAATTTATTTGTTATTTGTCGGTGGCTTAAGTACATTAGAATGTAATTTAATGATGTTTTTTTTTTAAACTGACACAATACTGACTTGTTTACCCACGCTGTTATGGTAAATATACAGCAAAGACTGATTTTTATTGTATTATCATCAATCCTCGTTTCTAATGTATCGAAAGAAAAAGGAGTAATTTGTTATGACTGGAGGTAATAGTGAACATTTAAAACTGTGCCAATACATTCTCGACCTTCAAAATTTACTCTTTATTATTATTTTAAAGATAGCTTTTGAATTCTGAACATGCATTTCTTCTAAAATATAATACTCAAAGACGATTTTGTTATATAAATATTATTTCTGGAAAATGTATTAATCCTATTGAGATTTGCATAAAAATTGGAGTGTGCCAATACTTTTTTGACTTAATTGTTTAATTTATAAAATGTGTCAATATACACCAAAACTAGCTTAATTTCAAAGTTTCATCTATGAATTGGTATTCATTTTACGTAGTGTTGATGCTTTAAAATTTCCATGTGTTTATGATAAAAAAAAAACTTATATTTGACGTGAAATAGGGGGATTACAAAAAATTTCACTTTTTTTATTATGTCCGATTTCGGGCCTTTTTTCACTCAGCCTATTACGCAATAGTACCTATAGTTTTGCATATTTTCTCCTTGTTCATTGTTTTATTATTATTTTTATGAATTTATATTACTTATTTATTATGTAGTGTAATTTAAAGTTGCGTTTAGAAATTTTACAAACTACGGGGAACACAATCATCTAACCCACAGCCACATTATTGCTAAATCAAACTATTTATTTTATTTTTCTTGATACCAACAGCAGATAATATCGAAAATCAAAATACTTGCATAATGAAATAACCATTTATAAATTTGTTTGTTCCTTATCCAAACCCACATTGAAAGTGTAATTTTTAATGTCGTGAAAAATCTCCATTTTTTTTTTCTAATCGATGAAACTTCATGGACTAATGATTAATGAAATAAGAATATAAAAAGCACAAGAAAAATATTATGAGTATTCTGAATAGCTATTCGATTAAATTTTTCACTCGTTTTCATCTATTCGATATATCGTTTAAGACATACAGTACAATGAAGAAAAATAATAATATCAAGCA